AGGCTCCTGGTAGGTTCTGCTGCAGCCCCCCGTGGCACAGCCACCAGGTGAAGTACAGCTGGGCTGGGCAACAGCATTCCATTTATTTAAAACATTTTTTGTGGTGCCCTGTGGAAGTGGTGCCAGCTGAGAAGCTGCAGCTGCACTGCTGGGGGAGCACACTAGAGGGTAGTGCTGCCCTGCCTGCCCTGCCCTGCCCTGCCTGCAGTCCCACCCCCCTTGGGGTGGCCCGGGGAGCTGGCATCGCTCCCTCCTTACCCTTTGCCTGTACAACAGGGGGTGATCCCTGTGATACAAACCCCCCCACGTCCTCTCTGAACCTGCCAGGCCTGCCTGGGGAGTGGATTGTTGCAATGAATGGTCCTCTCTGTGTGCACGTCCTGAGAGACTGGAGTAACTGACAGCCCAGAGAGGTTCCTGGGGCCTGCTGGGTGGTGAGCTGAAATTGTACATTTAACTGAAATGTTTCATTTCACAGCCCAACATGAAGTAATTGGGTTTGGGCTGCATTAGAAGATTGGTGGAGTAGCTGCAGCAGTCGATAGAAGTGGCCAGTTACTGAGGTCTGTGCTAGCAGGGGAACAGGTCTTGTACACAGTGGGTGGAAAAGGTGATTAGTACAGTGAATATTTACTGCCTGACAGCCAAAGCCTATCTAGCATCATCTCCAAACACTGGATTCCACTGACACCTTGATTTGATGTAGGGTAGCTCTTCCTGGAGCAAGACAAAAGGAGACCATTCACAGCTCCTTGAGCTCTGTGAAGACCCCCTGGGTCCCCCTCAGCTGTTGTGGGTCCTCTCTTGTGCTGGGAACTCTGGTTTTTTAGGTGGCCTCCTCTCTACACAGCAGTGTAAGGGAAACCTGCCATAGATTTGGTGAAGGAATGAATGTCCATGTGCAGTGCTGGTGAGACTGGTCCCTGCTGAAAGCTGGCTTGGTGCGGGGTCTGGTTTCAGTTCTCTGCTGGTCTGGGCTGTCTGCTCTGTTGGGAGGGTGATGCTGGAGACACTCCTGGTGTGTGAGAGCAGCTGTTCCCAAAAAACGGTGATGGGCTGGGCTGAAATTCCAGCTCTGGGATATTGGGGATTTATTATCTTGACTCTCCTCTGAGCATTTTAAGAAAGGAAGCAGCTGAAATCCAGAGGATGTACATTTTCCCCAATTTCTCCATATTTAACCCAAAACAGTGGAGTTTCTTAACCCTTCTTAAAGGAAGGTGTCAGTCCAGCCTCAGAAATGGCATTGACTCAAGCACTGCATAGGAACAGAGACCAGGTGTGAGGGACACCTTAGAGATTCCTGCCCCAGACCAGAAGAGGGTTCCAGCCGTGAGGACAGCGTGTGGGGGTGCAGGATGTGTCCCACCAAGGTCTGTTTGGGTCCTGTGCTGAGCTGGAGGGCTGGGGTGGGGTGGGGGCACCACCCCTGTGTCTGTCACTGGGCAGCTTGGCAGGCAGGGCAGAGCTGCTGCTGTGACAGAGGATTCAGAAGTTTCTCTTTTGCTGAACCCTTTGGTTGTGCTGTGGCCTCAGCAGGGTCGGTAGGGGTGCAGTGAGACACTTCATGGCACCAATCCCCACCCCTAAGAGGAGGCCTCTTGTTCAAAAAGAAGAGGGCTGGATTCTGACAGCCTGCAAGTCCTGCTCTTCTCTGGATTAAACCTCCCCTGGGGAGGACAGCCAGGAAATCATCCTCCTGAGGCACTCCTGCCAGCTAAAGGTTTCCAAATAATTGAGGATCAAGTTGGGTGGGGCTCTGGGCAGCCTGATCTGGTGGGAGGTGTCCCAGCCCATGGCAGGGGGGTTGGAACTAGATGATCTCTAAGGCCCCTTCCAACCCAAACCGTTGTGTGATTCTATGACTCTCTTTACCAAATAGTCCCACAAAAGCCACAGCTGAAACCCTGGTAAGGGTGAGCTCTGTTAGGCTGTGATTTAAAGGAGAATGAGAGGTGGGGGGACAGCAACTGGGAGGCATTGTCATGCATCTGCACAAGTCTGAAGGCTCAGAACATCTGCTTGCTGGCAGAACCCCCTGTTCTCCTGAGAGCTGTGGGCAGTGGAGCCACTGGGAAAGTGAACAACAAGCTGGGGTGCAGATGGCTGGAGGGAAGATGGACATTAAAAAGGAATGTCTCACAAAGTCTGGAGCAGATGCTGCACAGCAGGAAACTGAATTATCACTCTCCAAGATACTTTTCTGGTGGGATTCTTAGAGGTTC